TTTTGAGAACCGGCGGCTATTGGTCAATAGCCAGTTGAAGATCCTTTTCAACCTCCAGTCTATTTCTCAAGAGTCCGAGGTCGCGCTGAGGGAGCTGCAAGCCACCATTCAGAGTTGTCTGAGGCTTGGGATTGTCTCCTGGTATTTATGATTTCCTCAAAGCTCCCCAAAGTCACACTTTCTATGTGGGAGCAATCCGTACATAATAAGGCCGAAATTCCAACATGGAAGGAATTAGATAACTTCCTGACAAAGCGCCATCGCACTCTGGAGGCCATCGACGACGTCAGGGCTAGTGGCTCCGGGCAATCTCCGCCAAGGTCGGGACTTCCTACTGCCCCTGCACGGAGGCTCAATTCGTACGAGACTCGAGTGGTTCCGCGCCAAAAGGGATGCGATCTCTGTTCGCGGGAGAACCACCCTATCCGATTATGTCCGCGTTTCCTAGAAATGAACGTGGATGGGCGCTCTGACTACATTAAGAGGAAGCAGTTATGCTTGAACTGTTTTGCCCGAGGGCACCAGCAGCGAGACTGCACCAGCAGCGCCTACCGCCTACTCCAGCAAGGCCTCGACCCGCACAAACGGCCAGAAGCACAAACGGCACAAACAGAGGATCAGTCGGATGTGCAGGTGTGCTTCGCTTCCGGGTCAGGAGCCGTCCTACTGGGCACGGCCCTTATCAACGTGTGCCATATGGGGTGCAGTTTCCAGGCACGAGCACAGATAGACTCAGGGTCCGAAGCGACTTTCATAACTGAACGACTGTTCAACCTTGTCAAGCTTCCCTTCAAGACGATTCAAGCCCAAGTGTCCGGTCTTAATCAGACCATTTCCGCGCAGTCTACTAAATTGTGCCATTTCTCCGTTCGGTCGCCGTCTAGACCCGGGCTACAATTAGAGACTGCGGCTTACGTTCTTCCGCAGTTGGCAGGAAATCTGCCATCATATCCGATTTCGCGGGATCTCCAGGGGCTGCCCGATATTCCCCTGGCGGAACCCAACTTCTTTGAAAGCTCCTAAGTCGATGTGTTAATAGGAGCTGACATTCTTCCGTCCATTCTCCTCGGTAATACCAGGGCTAACATCTGCGGGTCGCTTCTCGGTCAGGAAACCATTTTTGGATGGGTGCTGACAGGCCCATTATCTCCAGCCAACCCTCGCAGCGTGTCCGTTTTTTCACACGAGTTCCCCGTAGCCTCGGTGACTCGCTGGATCAGCACTTCACCAAATTTTGAGAGGTGGAGGATGTGCCCACACAGATCAATTCGGAATCGGATTCAGTTTGCGAGCGCAATTTTGTCCAGACGACGAGAAGAGACGAGTGTGGCAAGAACGTTGTGACGCTCCCTTAACGCGACCCCGAGCAGAAGGGTTCCGAGCCATCGGCTTCACGGTCCTTTGCTCTTGCTCAGTTCCTGCGTCGACTTAGGCCACATGACCGAGGTCTCTCCCACGAGCAGTTCCGCTACCCTACTATCTTCCACATAATGCCGTCTTCAAGCCCGTAAGCACGACCACCAAGGTGCGGGTAGTCTTCAATGCTTCGAGCCCGTCCGCAAACGGGACCAGTCTGAACGACATTCTTTACGCGGGCCCGGTCTTACAATCCGACCTTACGATTGAAATCCTAAAGTGGCGATACTTTAGGTTTGTCTTCAACGCCGACATCGAGAAGATGTATCGGCAAATTTGGGTAGACCCCAAGCATACTCCGCTCCAACGTATTTTGTTTCGCAATCCCGATGGGGAGATCCGCGACTACGAATTAAAAACGGTCACCTTCGGTGTCAATTGTGTCCCATTCCTAGCGCTCCGTGTCCTGCAACAGCTCGCTGACGACGACGTTCCAATGTCCCTGTCCATTGTGCTGTCTCGTAGCTCTGTCCATACATTAAGGATGTATGGCCAGTAATATGATGAAAATCTAGTTCATGTAATCTTAACTTATGTGTTTTTAAATCGTTTATTTTACTTAACAAATTTTGTATTTCTATTGTATGTGTCACCGCTTAGCCGATCACGGGAATGCCTTATAACACTCGCAAATAGAACAATTGTTGAAGTGATGTGTAACGAGCGTTTTATTCTAAAAGACAATTGTTCTTAACCTGATACATAATTACTTATCCTACATACCGCAGTTTCTCTTCCCCTTTCTGTGATGGCGCAAATCGATGTGTTTTATCCGCCAAATATTGTATTCCTTTTTACCCGATTTTAGTGCGACCAAATAACCTAAACTAAATACTAGACTTCATAAAAATACTGACTTCATAAAAATCCTGACTATCGATAGCCTAATCCGTTCCGCGACATCCCCACCCCCGTGAAGCAGCCGCATTCACCACGTCCAGGACAGCTAGCTTCGAAGCGGGACGCATAGTCGTCTTGGCTCGATCGGTATTCCGCACCGCTGCTCGACGAGGTACTCCATCCTTCCCGGTGAACACCTCTTCCACGACGCCTCGTTTCCATTCCCTTCGTGGTATGGCTGGATCGCAGATGAATACCAGGTCTCTTCGACGGATGGGCTCGACGCGCTTGCACCATTTCTCCCTGCGCACAAGAGTTGGCAGGTACTCATGCACCCAACGCTTCCAGAAGCGATCGCGCATCATCCTTGCTATGCGCCACTGCTTCCTAGTAGCGGATCTCACGGGCTCCTGTCCATCATCCTTGGGGAGATCTGGGATATCCGATGCTCCTTTCAGCAAATCGTTAGGCGTCAGTGGAGCCTCCTGGTCCACCGTCACCGGTAGATGAGTGAGCGGACGAGAGTTCACGATGCTCTCCGCCTCAATCAGCAGGTTCTCCAGTACATGCTCCTTGGGCGCGAGCTCCTTCATTGTGTGCGCCAGCACCTTCTTCACGCACTGCACCATCCTCTCCCAGGCACCGCCTTCAGCTGGGTTCGCCGGGCAGTTGAAGATCCATTCGACTCCCTTAGACGACAGCTCGCCCTGGATCTGTTCAGGCTCGAACACTTCGCTGAACCTCTTGGCCTCGCGGTCGGCTCCAACGAAGCTCTTCCCATTATCGTTCCTTATCCTGACCACTGGTCCACGGCGGCTCATGAAGTTCCTCATGGCGATTATGCAGGAGTCGGTGGACAAATCGTGAGCCATCTCCAAGTGCACGTAAGCACGTAAACAGTGCCACCCACCTCTTCTCTGTGCGACGTCCAATTCTCACAAAGAGCGGCCCAAAGTAGTCCAGGCCAGTAAATTTAAATGGCCATCCGTTGGCCTCTAGCCGATCCGCAGGCAGGGGGCCCATCTCGGGCTGTGTGGGTCGTGCCTTCCGCAGCTTGCAAACGTTGCATTTGCTCACCACCCTCCGTAGCAGTCTCCGCAAGTTCGTTATCCGCGTTTTGGTGGCACATCTTTTCGTGGTGTTGCTGCACGATCATCTCTGCCAGCGCCTCCTCGTGAGACAGTATGATCGGCCGACGTGCGTTGTATGGCACACACATCGCGTCGTCGATCCTTCCACTGGCTCTCAATACTCCGTCCTCGTCAAGGTATGGGGAGAGTCCGTGCAGTCGGGTGTCCTTGGCGACGTTTCCTTGGCTGTCCTCAGCAAACGCTTCTCGCTGCGACTGCCGTATCAATGCGCGCTCTGCTTCAGCGCACTCCATCGCGGTCAATCCGTAGACCTCTATATCGCGACGTTTTCCACGGCATCGTCGAACAAATCTGAGCGCCCACGCAGTCGTCCTCACCAGTCGATTATAGCTGGAGAACCTCTGCAGGGATATAAAGTTTACCGTGACCAAGGCAAACTCACATTTCCAGTCCTCGCTCGATCTCGGCCAGCTCTCCTCTGGTCCTCGTAGAAACGGCGGTCCGCTTAGCCATCACGAACCGATGCTCAGGTATACGGCCTTGCGTGGCCTTATCGCGTCATCCGCCACGTTTTCGGCGGACGGGATCCATCTCCACTGGGACGCCTCTGTCGATTCCAAAATCTCCGCCACCCGGTTTCCGACGAACTGTTTGTATCTCCGGTGGGTGTTGCTTATCCAGTGCAACACAGTCTTGGAGTCCGTCCATAGCGCACAGCTGCTGATCGCGACACCGTGCTCCTGCTTGACGGTGTCCATCAATCTCGTGCCCGATACCGCTGCTTGGAGTTCCAGTCGCGGGATCGACATGGTCCTCATCGGGGCGCATTTCGTTTTGGAGCTTATGAAGTGCGCCTGCACGTCTCCGTTCTCGTACGTGGCCCGCCAGTAGGCCGCTGCTGCGAACGCCGATTGACTGGAGTCCACGAAGATGTGCAGCTGTAGCGTCCGCACTCGTCCGCCGCCAATCCTCGAAGGCTGCGGCCAATTAATCCGGTAGCGGCTCGTCCCAGTTGACTCCTCTCCGCCAAATCTCCCTCAGCAGCAGTTTGGCAGTCACCATGTAGCAGCTCAGGAACCCAATCGGGTCAAACGTAGACATCACCAGGCTTAGGAACTCCCTCTTGGTAGGGACTCGTTCCCCCGTCATCACGTTCCTCGGGACTCGATGGTACTTGACGCCGAACTTGAACTCATCGGTAGCCGGCTGCCAGTACATCCCAAGAACCTTCTCCTCAGCTTCGGTCCATCCGACTCTGGCGATAGACTCAAGTGGGTTCAGCGCTCTGACCACACTTGCCGAACTGGAGGTAAATCGGCACAAATCAAAACCTGCTTCAGCGTGAATTTCTCTCACCCGTGTCGAGATGGCGATAGCTTCGTCCTCGCTGGCGAAACTGTCGACGTAGTCATCCACGTAGTGGTATTCGTTGATGGCCAGGGCTGCTCGCGGGTCCGTGCTGCTATACCGCAAGGCATTCACGGTCTTCACGTAGTCCGCCGAACATGGTGAGCAGGCCGCTTCGAACGTCATTACTGCCATCTCGTATACGTCCGGCTCTCGCTGGTCGTCTCCGTCTCTCCACAGAAACCTCTGGGCGCATCTGTCCTTCGGCTGCATCAGTACCTGATGAAACATCTCCTTGATGTCTGCTCAAACTCCAACCGCTCCTTCCCGAAAATGGAAGAGCACTGCTGGGAGGGGCTTGTAGCGCTGTGGGCCTTTCAGTAGCGCTGAATTCAAGGACACACCGTCCACCTTGGCAGCCGCATCGGAAACCAGCCGGATTTTCCCAGGCTTTTTCGGGTTTTCCACTCCGAAGTGCGGCAGGTACCACACTTTGCCCTCCTGAAACCTCTGGACTTCCTGGGCCTCCAGTCGTCGTGCGTATCCCTTCTTGACATAATCGTCCATTATCCGGATGTAAGCCGACGCGAAGTCCACATCGCGCATCATTTTACGCTCTATGTTGACGAGCCTCCTAAGGGCCATGCTGTAGCTCTCCGGCAATCTCACTTCGTCGTCCTTCAATAGCAGCCCGGTCTCGTATCTCTGGCCTACGCGTTTGGTCATCTTCTCCAGGGTGCTCAGGGCCCGTGCGTCGCCGCTATCTCCGACTGACGGCTCCAGGTCCACTCTGCTAGCTGCGACTGGCTGCACCGGCTTCGCTCCGAAATTCTCGGTCTCGAAGTAGTCGCTGACCATCTTCTCCAGAAGATCATCCTGGGGCACGGCTAGGAGGCACGAACTCAGAAGCGGCGAGCTCGGCTTTCCGTTCACCGGTCCATATACCACCCATCCAAGTGCGGTTTCTGCTGCAAACGGCCCTCCAGATCCATAACTTTTGGTTCTGTAGGGTACTCCTAAATGCGCATGATCCAGTCCAATTAGGATTCTCGGCATCGCATTGTTGTACGGCATCACCGGCAGACGCGTGTTCGCCTTCACTGCCTGTACATCCTCCTGACGCAGGCTCTGCATCGGAAGGTTCAGATTGGCCACTCCGTACACATTTTTCAGCCCATGGCGCTTTGGTTTGCCCGCTGCGCTGATCTGCAGGCTGACCACCTTCGTGTGCTCTTTGGCGGATTTTCCACCAAACCATTGCACATTCAGCTGGCGACTCTCGCCTTTCAGGTTCAGGCTGCGGATGAGTTCGTTGTCGATGAGTGTGACAGACGATCCTTTGTCCAGCAGTGAGTACGTGTCGACCTTCGTATTCTCGCCGTACAGCGTCACGGGTAGAATCCTGATCAGCAGGTGGCATCCAATTGAGTCGATGTTGAGGTTTCGGTGCGGCAATTCCTGGCGATCGTACGCCGATCGCCCTTCATCCCGCTCACGTCGCGCGTCTACAACTGCGGCCGACGTAAGGATGGTTCCTTTCCCTGGAATCCACTGACCGTGGCACTCCCCTCCGATTGTTGCCGTCTCTGTACGGCTGTCGGTCCTGATCCCTCCTGTGGCCCCCATCTGCGACTGGCGGCCGTTTGGATCGTTCAGGTACTTCGTGGAGCAGGTGGTGATGCCTCATCTGGCATCCGAGGACGTTGCATCCGCGGCTCTTCCTGCAGAAACGGGACATGTGTCCGGGCTCCAGGCACGAGAAGCACAGTCGTCGCTTCCTCGCGGACTCGATCCGTGTCGTTGTAGAGGCGCTGATGAAGTCCTTGCAGTCCCTGACCTGGTGCTGTCCCCCGCATATAGGGCAGCATCTGGGGCGGTCGACATATTGCTCCTCCTCGCGAACACTATTCGCGTGCAGAATCCTTCGCTTCGGTTGTTCCCTGGCTCCGGCGTCCGTGACAGTGCACACCAGTTTGGCGAATTCATGGAGCCACTCGCTCAGGTGCGCCACCGTCGGATACGGCTGTATCGTGGCCGCGTGCCTTTCCCAGTCCAACCTCTTGCTTAGCGGTACTTGGCTATCAGCTCCTCCATTAGGGTTGGGTTGGCTAAGTGCTGGCTGCCGGTCGCGGTCGACTGCAGGAACGCTGACAGGTTGCTAACCTTCGTCGCGAACGGCACGATCCTCGCGATGTTGGCCTACTGAATCGGCTGCACTTCGCGCACGCTCTCCAATTGGCTGCGGATCAGTTGCTCCGGGCGTCCATACCGGAATCGTAGCTGCTCCATAACAGCTTGAACGTTGCTGGGATGGATGAGCAACGACTTCACTGTTTCGCGAGCCTCTCCCTTCAGGGCTTTCACTAGCCTCTGGTTGTTTTCCAACTCGGTGCACTGGTAGGCTGCAGTTGTCTCCGTGAACGCACACAGGAATATTGGCCATTCCTCTGGCTGACCCTCGAAATCGGGAAGGTCATGTAGTCTGCGTGGCGTCCATCCTTGTATGCTTGTCGTCGGCGCTCCATATGATATGGGCGATGGCGCAGGTACCTCTGGGCGAACGTAACCTAGCACCGGCTGTGCTGCGGCGGTCACACAAGATGGCGGAGAATAGCGCAGTATTGTTGTTGTCGACACAGGTTGCCCGTTTGCCCAATGGGCGCCAAGCATCGGCGCCAAATTCGCACCTCCATTTTGGCGGCAATTTGCACTTACTTGTGCCGGCAACTGCAGCGATGGCGTCACTCCGAGATCCGTTTGCAGGTTGTCCCTCATCTGCCTGGGCAGGTTTTCGCTCAAACTCTGCCGTGGCGCTGCTCCATGATGTGGCAGCGTTCCACTCGAACATGGCGGTGTATTCGCTGCACCGCTCACTCCAACGCCGCGTGCCCCGATTCGAACGGGATCTCTGGCGACCTCTGCTTGTCCTCCACTTGCTCTTGCCTTCGCCAGCTCCGACTCCAGACGTGCGATCCTTTCCATTAAGGCCGCCACTACAGTTGTGGAATCCGTAGTCTGCCCCGTCGCTTCGGGCTGCAGGTTACTTGCCGCTTTCCTGGCGGCTGTTCCACTTTCCTTCGGAGTCTGTGGCCTCTGCCGATCACCAGCCACACTCGCAGAGCTGATCGCGGTGCCAGTTGCTGTGGCCGTGGTGGTCGCAGTTCCGGGAACGCCCGAGGCTTCCAGCCTGGGGCTCCGCCTGGGTGAGTGCTTCGTGGGCATCATCTTGCAGAGTGCGAATAAAAGAATTTGTCACCGCTTGGCCGATCACGGGAATGCCTTATAACACTCGCAAATAGGACAATTGTTGAAGTGATGTGTAACGAGCGTTTTATTCTAAAAGACAATTGTTCTTAACCTGATACATAATTACTTATCCTACATACCGCAGTTTCTCTTCCCCTTTCTGTGATGGTGCAAATCGATGTGTTTTATCCGCCAAATATTGTATTCCTTTTTACCCGATTTTAGTGCGACCAAATAACCTAAACTAAATAATAGACTTCATAAAAATACTGACTTCATAAAAATCCTGACTATCGATAGCCTAATCCGTTCCGAGACAGTATGATTAATTACTGGAGAACCTAATTGGTTCCAAACTACCTTAGGTATTTCCTTTATCTCACCTATATACATATGACATAGATAGCGTCGCTAGATCTTCTACCTGAATACTATGATGAGCAACTAAGATATCGCTATCTGTTCGAGCAGTGCAGTCTGACCTTATGGTGAAAACTCCTTATTCAGGTAAATCGACTATCTCTAATTTTGAAATGCCGCATTTTACCCGAGCCTTAGTATTGTTCTGTACCTTAAAAAGCCAACTACTTCTTCTGTCTAACTCGACCCAGTACGACTTGTTTGGAATAACGGATTTGTACTGAACGACTGTTCAACCTTGTCAAGCTTCCCTTCAAGACGATTCAAGCCCAAGTGTCCGGTCTTAATCAGACCATTTCCGCGCAGTCTACTAAATTGTGCCATTTCTCCGTTCGGTCGCCGTCTAGACCCGGGCTACTATTAGAGACTGCGGCTTACGTTCTTCCGCAGTTGGCAGGAAATCTGCCATCACATCCGATTTCGCGAGATCGTCTCAAGGGGCTGCCCGATATTCCCCTGGCGGACCCCAACTTCTTTGAAAGCTCCTAAGTCGATGTGTTAATAGGAGCTGACATTCTTCCGTCCATTCTCCTCGGTAATACCAGGGCTAACATCTGCGGGTCGCTTCTCGGTCAGGAAACCATTTTTGGATGGGTGCTGACAGGCCCATTATCTCCAGCCAACCCTCGCAGCGTGTCCGTTTTTTCCACACGAGTTCCCCGTAGCCTCGGTGACTCGCTGGATCAGCACCTCACCAAATTTTGAGAGGTAGAGGATGTGCCCACACAGATCAATTCGGAATCGGATTCAGTTTGCGAGCGCAATTTTGTCCAGACGACGAGAAGAGACGAGTGTGGCAAGTACGTTGTGACGCTCCCCTTACGCGACTCCGAGCAGAAGGGTTCCGAGCTATCGGCTTCACGGTCCTTTGCTCTTGCTCAGTTCCTGCGTAATGAGCAGCGCCTGAAGAGGGATCCGCCTCTTAAGGCCCGCTATGACTCGGTAATCCATGAATACATCGACTTAGGCCACATGACCAAGGTCTCTCCCAAGAGCAGTTCCGTTACCCTACTATCTTCCACATAATGCCGTCTTCAAGCCCGTAAGCACGACCACCAAGGTGCGGGTAGTCTTCAATGCTTCGAGCCCGTCCGCAAACGGGACCAGTCTGAACGACATTCTTTACGCGGGCCCGGTCTTACAATCCGACCTTACGATTCAAATCCTAAAGTGGCGATACTTTAGGTTTGTCTACAACGCCGACATCGAGAAGATGTATCGGCAAATTTGGGTAGACCCCAAGCATACTCCGCTCCAACGTATTTTGTTTCGCAATCCCGATGGGTAGATCCGCGACTACGAATTAAAAACGGTCACCTTCGGTGTCAATTGTGTCCCATTCCTAGCGCTCCGTGTCCTGCAACAGCTCGCTGACGACGACGTTCCAATGTCCCTGTCCATTGTGCTGTCTCGTAGCTATGTCCATACATTAAGGATGTATGGCCAGTAATATGATGAAAATCTAGTTCATGTAATCTTAACTTATGTGTTTTTAAATCGTTTATTTTACTTAACAAATTTTGTATTTCTATTGTATGATTAATTACTGGAGAACCTAATTGGTTCCAAGCTACCTTAGGTATTTCCTTTATCTCACCTATATACATATGACATAGATAGCGTCCCTAGATCTTCTACCTGAATACTATGATGAGCAACTAAGATATCGCTATCTGTTCCAGCAGTACAGTCTGACCTTATGGTGAAAACTCCTTATTCAGGTTAATCGACTATCTCTAATTTTGAAATGCCGCATTTTACCCGAGCCTTAGTATTGTTCTGTACCTTAAAAAGCCAACTACTTCTTCTGTCTAACTCGACCTGACATTCTTCCGTCCATTCTCCTCGGTAATACCAGGGCTAATATCTGCGGGTCGCTTCTCGGTCAGGAAACCATTTTTGGATGGGTGCTGACAGGCCCATTATCTCCAGCCAACCCTCGCAGCGTGTCCGTTTTTTTCACACGAGTTCCCCGTAGCCTCGGTGACTCGCTGGATCAGCACTTCACCAAATTTTGAGAGGTGGAGGATGTGCCCACACAGATCAATTCGGAATCGGATTCAGTTTGCGAGCGCAATTTTGTCCAGACGACGAGAAGAGACGAGTGTGGCAAGTACGTTGTGACGCTCCCCTTACGCGACCCCGAGCAGAAGGGTTCCGAGCTATCGGCTTCACGGTCCTTTGCTCTTGCTCAGTTCCTGCGTAATGAGCAGCGCCTGAAGAGGGATCCGCCTCTTAAGGCCCGCTATGACTCGGTAATCCATGAATACATCGACTTAGGCCACATGACCAAGGTGTCTCCCAAGAGCAGTTCCGTTACCCTACTATCTTCCACATAATGCCGTCTTCAAGCCCGTAAGCACGACCACCAAGGTGCGGGTAGTCTTCAATGCTTCGAGCCCGTCCGCAAACGGGACCAGTCTGAACGACATTCTTTACGCGGGCCCGGTCTTACAATCCGACCTTACGATTCAAATCCTAAAGTGGCGATACTTTAGGTTTGTCTACAACGCCGACATCGAGAAGATGTGTCGGCAAATTTGGGTAGACCCCAAGCATACTCCGCTCCAACGTATTTTGTTTCGCAATCCCGATGGGTAGATCCGCGACTACGAATTAAAAACGGTCACCTTCGGTGTCAATTGTGTCCCATTCCTAGCGCTCCGTGTCCTGCAACAGCTCGCTGACGACGACGTTCCAATGTCCCTGTCCATTGTGCTGTCTCGTAGCTATGTCCATACATTAAGGATGTATGGCCAGTAATATGATGAAAATCTAGTTCATGTAATCTTAACTTATGTGTTTTTAAATCGTTTATTTTACTTAACAAATTTTGTATTTCTATTGAATGATTAATTACTGGAGAACCTTATTGGTTCCAAACTACCTTAGGTATTTCCTTTATCTCACCTATATACATATGACATAGATAGCGTCCCTAGATCTTCTACCTGAATACTATGATGAGCAACTAAGATATCGCTATCTGTTCGAGCATTGCAGTCTGACCTTATGGTGAAAACTCCTTATTCAGGTAAATCGACTATCTCTAATTTTGAAATGCCGCATTTTACCGAGCCTTAGTATTGTTCTGTACCTTAAAAAGCCAACTACTTCTTCTGTCTAACTCGACCCAGTACGACTTGTTTGGAATGACGGATTTGTACCTACAATTGGACGCAGCATTTGGTTTAAGAGGCGTAAGCTCACAGATGTTATCATTGGCACATCTCCAGGGCCTACTACCTTCACACACTCTTTTGTTTGATTGCCACCGCTGGCATTTATTTAAAGTTGATTCTTCCATTAGGCGATATGCATATATTTCAAAATTGTAAACTAAATATTGTGAATCAAGATGAACCATAACCATGCTTTCATCAATTTGAAAAGGTACTGGAACTATTCTATAAAGCACTGATGCATGTCTTCCAAACAAAGATATTTTTGCATTTATTATTAGCTTCCTATCAACAAATAATCCCCTTGCAATTAATAATGTATAAATGTCCTTTAGCTCAGTACCTGTTCTTTTTCCTGGCAACAATAAGTTTTCTGATATTTCATTTATTTTGGTGATTTCTATTTTTAACTGACTGGTTGATGTCAATTAAAAGGCTTATGATTCCGGATTGCATTTATTCACAGTCATCTATTATGCTGCCTAATTGTTTGGTGATCATGAAGAAGTTGATAGATTCTTTGTACAAATAATAGGAATCCTTTAGCACAGCTGTCATATTCTCATTTCTTTTATTCATGCCTTTAAAGTTTGCGTTTATATCGTCCGTCGTACTTTTTAATATATTAGCCGTAGAATCGATTAAAGACGTTTGCTTCTTGCTCAACTCATTAAGGCTATGCTGGTTGCTTACTAAATTTCTCATATTTTCTTCCATCTGGATCCTCATCCATTATCCCAAATAAAATGTAATAAAGGGATCCCATAAAGCCAAAGGGAGATCGTATATTCCTTGCTTTACCTTGAGCTATAAAGAGCTTGTAATTCTCTTCCAAGTCTACCATTTGTCATTCCGTATTATTTAGAACCAAAAAACACTGATCCTCGAACCCATAGAGTTTTTCGCAAGCTACTCTCATTTTTGGTACTAATTCTTTCCCCTTTTTTAACATTTCGAAATAAGCGTCCATATCATAGTAGATTACTAAATTCCACGAGGATGCTACGATCTCAATGTCCCCCATTGGATCGAAATATATTGCCGAAGTCTTATTTATGGTTTCTTCTGCATATTTTTGTTTCCCATTATTAGGCAATGCGTTAGAAATTTGACAACTCAATATAAATAGCAACATTGCCATGATAAACCCAATCTTGGACATCTTTGATGTTGCTCTAGTTTGTCTTTTTAGCTGAGGGTCAGCCTCATTTTTGTCAAGAGACTTTATTCCTTCCAAGGGACAAATTTTAGCAATGGGTCTTGTGATAAATCCTTCTTGCATCTTTATCTCAACTACTCGGACCTTATCATCATTCCCCTTATGGATCTTTTCCACCTTCCCTAAAGGCCATCTTGCTGGATGACAATTCTTATCCT